ATTTGAACATACTATTACTGATTCAATTTTACAAGTAATCAAAAATGTCCCAACAAACAAAATTCCAGTACCAGACAGCTTCACTAGTGAATTCAAAGAAGAATTAATAGCAGTCTTTCTCAAACTCTTTCAAAAAATAGAAGAGGAAGGGACACTTGCAAATTTATTTTTCTAGGCCAGCATTATTTTGATATCAAATGTAGACAGGATGACACAAGAAAAGAAAATTACAAGCCAATATCTCTGATAAACATAGATGCCAAAATCCTCAACAAAATATTAGCAAACTAAACTCAGTAATACAGGGATGCAGCCATGGTTCAGTATCCACAAGTCAGTCACTGTGGGCCACCACATTACCAAAGAGAAGGGCAAAATTCATATGATACCTCAATAGATGCAGAAAGAGCTTTTGACAAAATTCAATGCCTATTAACGATAAAAATTTTCAATAAGATGGCAGAGAGGGAACTTAACTTAAAGATCAGATATTACAAACCTATTGCTAGTATCATATTCAATGATGAAAAGCTGAAAGGTTTTTCTCTAAAGTCAGGAATGTGAAACAGATGCCCAATTCCACTACTTTTATTTAACATGGCGGTTAGGCAAGAAAAAGAAAAAAAGACAACCAAATCAGAAAGAGGTAAAATTGTCACTATTTGCATAAGACAGTTACATTTATCATCTTTATATCCCTAAAGACCTCACCAGGAAACTGTTAGAACTAATCAGTGAATTCAATAAAGTTGCAGGATACAAAATCAGTATAGAAAAATATGCTGCATTTCTATACACTAGTAATGAACTGTCAGAAAGAAAAATAAAGAAAATCTCATTTACAACTGCATCAAAAACAATAAAATACCTAGGAATAAATTTAACTAAAAAGTAGAAAGACCTGTACACTGAAAACTATACAGCATTGATGAAGAAATTGAAGATGCAAATAAATGGAGGAATTAATGCTGTTAAAATGACCATACTGCTCCTAGCAATGTACAGATTCAGTGCAATCCATATCAAAATTCCAATAGCATTTCTCATAGAAGAAGAGAAAACAATTCTAAAATTTGTATGGCACCCCAAAAGACCCAAATAGCCAAAACAATCCTAAGAAAGAAGAAAAAAGCAGGAGGCATCACATTCCCTGATTTCAAACTATACAACAAAACTATAGCAATCAAAACAGTATTACCCAAAGCAATCTATAAATTCAATGCAATCCCTATTAAAATACCAATGGCATATTTCACAGATCTAGAACAAATATTCCAAAAATTTATATGGAACAATAAAAAGACGCCGAATAGCCACGGCAGTCTTGAGAAAGAAGGACAAGGTTGGAGGGATCACAATACCAGAAATCAAATTTTACTACAAACCCACTGTAATCAAAACAGCCTGTTACTGGCACAAGAACTGACATACAGATTTATGGAACAAGACAGAGGACCCAGAAATTGAACCAAGCCTTTACACTCAATTAATGTTTGACAAAGGAGAAAAGAGCATATAATGGAGTAAAGACAGTCTCTTCAATAATTGGTGCTGGGAAAATTGTACAAGTACATGCAAAAAAACGAAACTAGACCACCAACTTACACCATACCCAAGAATAAACTCGAAATGGATCAAAGACTTAAATGTAAGTCACAAAACCATAAAAATCCTAGAAGAAAACATAGGCAGTAAAATCTTACACATCTCTCATAGGAGTTTTGCCAATATATTTCCTAGAGCAAGGGATAAAAGGAAAAAGTAAACAAATGGAACTACATTAAATTAAAAAGCTTCTGCACAGCAAAGGAAACAACAAAAAGTATGGTGTTGCATAGAAACAGACACATGGATTAATAGAACAGAATAGAGAGCCCAGAAATAAACCCATGCCAACATAGTCAATTTATGACAAAGGGGCCAAGAATATACAATAAGGAAATACCAGTCTCTTCAACAAATAGTGGGAAAACTGGACAGCCAGTTGCAAAAAAAGAAAGAAACTGGACCACTATCTTACACCATACACAAAATTTAACCCAAAATGGATTAAAGACTTAATGTAAGAAAACCATAAAACTCCTAGCAGAAAATATAGGCAGTAATCTTTACATCAGTCATGACAATGATTTTTTTGGACCTGTCACCAAAAGCAGATATAAATAAGTAGAAGTACCTCAAGTTAAAAAGCTTTTGCACAACAAAGGAAGCCATCAACAAAGCGATATGGTAACCTATTTACAAAATTAAATATCTGATAATGGGTTATTATTGAAAATATATAAAGAACTCATACAACCCAATAGCAACAACAACAACAACAAATTTGATCAGAAAATGGGCAGAAGATCTGAATTAATATTTTCCTAAAGAAAACATAGAAGCGACCAACAAGTACATGAAAAGATTCTCAATGTTGCTAATCATCAGGGAAAGAAAATTAAAACCACAATTAAATATTACTTCATATCTGTTAGAATGGCTGTTATCAAAAAGACAAAACATAACAAATGTTGGTGAGGATGTGGGGAAAAGGGAAGGAACCCTTGTGTATCCTGTGTAAATTGGTGCAGCCACTATGTAAAACCAGTATGGAGGTTTGTAAAACCAGTATGGAGGTTTGTAAAAAATTTAAAATCGAAGTACCATATAATCCAGCAATTCCATTTCTGGGTATATATCTAAAGGAAATAAAATCACTCTTTGGAAGAGATATAATCCCCGTGTTCATTGTAGCATTATTTACAAAAGCCAAGATATGGAAACAACCTTAGTGTTCCATATCCAGTACATGAATGGATAAAGAACATGTGGTAAAAATATACCATGGGATACCATTCAGCCATTAGAATGAAATATTGCCATTTGTGACAACATGGTCAGACTTTGAGAGCCTAAATCAGAAGGAAAACAACAAATACTATATGATCGCACTTACATGTGTGGTCTTAAACACACACACACACACACACGCACGCACGCGCCTGCCCTGGCCAGTTTGTTCAGTGGTTAGAGCATCGGCCCTCGGACTGAAGGGTCACGGGTTCAATTTCCGGTCCAGGGCATGGACCTCGGTTGCAGGCTCTCGTTGGGGAGGCAACCAATCAATGTGTCTCTCTCACATCGATGTTTCTCTGTCTATTCCCCTCCCTTCCACTCTCTCTAAAAAATCAATGGGAGAAATGTCCTCGGGTGGGGATCAACAAAAAAAACCCACAATTTCAGATACAGAGGAGATTGGTAGTGGCCGCAGGCAGGGTTTTGGGGTGGGCAAAAATGGATAAAGTGGGTCAAGGTTACATATGCCCAGTTATAAAATAAAAAGTCATAGGATATGATGTACAGCACGGTGACTCTAGTTAACACTGGTTTGCATATCTCAAAGTTCTCATCAAAAGAAAAAATATAACTGTATAGTGACAGATATTTACTAGACTTACTGTGGTGGTCATTTTCCAATATATACAAATATCGAATCATTATGTCTTAGTCCTGAAACTAATGCTATAAATCAACTATACTTCAATAACATTTAAATATGTAAATTAAATATTTTAAATTATCCATCAAAACCAGGTTCAAAGGTGAAAGTTATAGTTACGTTATAAGCATTAACTTCTGGAGTGTTGGTTTATATAAAACATGCCTTTCTTGATATCTGCCCAGATGTTACCTTACAAAAAGAAGGTATTTACCTCTGTATTCCTTATACTTTCTTGGAGAATTAATTAGTCTTAACTGTAACCACTGAATGACTTTCATGAAAAGTATTAAATTATTGGATGCCAAACATGAAAAAGAGTTGATATGCAGACAAGAAAACTAATCTTCCTGCTAAATATCATAATAAACATCCATAATACTGTCTACTCAGAAGGAAGCTAATTTACACAGCTGGAGATGATAATCGGTAAGCAGACTCCAAACTCTGACGTTGGAGCAGTTATCGCAGCGTAGGCTTACTCTGCTGCTCATTTTACTTTTTTCAAGAAAGTGAAAAGGCCAACCTACTTTAGAGAAACAAGATGATTTTAGAGGAGGGTCATTTGTAAATCCTGGAGTGGAAGAGTTAAGGCAGGTGGCTACACGGGGGTAGAAATGAAATCATTTCAAGATCTTTTAACACCACTGCAAATGAGGTTTAGTTAGGATAGTCTATGTTCTATATGTAAAAAAAATACAGATATTTAGGAAAATCTTTGAAATTCTTACCTCTTAGATATTGGAAAGCATTTTTCTGCTTTGCCTCCTTGATTTCACACCCACCTCTAGAAAGTATTTTGTGTTGGCTTTTATCTCTGCGTCTCTGGAGGACTATAAAAAAAAAAAAATCCTATGAGCTTAGCTTAAGCAGCCTAGTAAAACAGGTGTGCGAAGATTTCGACAAAACAAGGCACCATGTAATTTAAAGAACTTGTTTTTATCAGCCAGCTTTGTTAATTTCTACTCTATTCAAAACACACACAAAAATATATTTTCTGTAAATGAAACTATCAGTGGAGAAAATGAGATCTTTAAGCAAGTAAGAATATCTGTAAACAGTGATGGGTAAACAATTTAAGTTAAAAAACTTTCCTTATTGCTTTAAGTTCGTTTGTAATTTTAGCGGAATGAAAATGATGCAGGCAGAAGACAAAATTGCAGAAATCCAACTTAATCTCCTAGGCATTGACATGTACAAATTTATATCTTTTTTATATAAACCATCCGTCTCAGTTAGATACCACAGGGAAAGTGAGCTTGCACGCTGGCTGAACATTTGTTCTTAATGGGGAAGAAGTGACTTGGAAGGTGGTTTGGTTCAACTAGCAGCCTGTTCATGGTTTGGTGGTATTACTAGCTCCCTGGAGAGTGAAACTCGTGAAGAGAATAGGGTCACTGGTTTTAAAGTTCCTTTGGTAAGTTTAAATATATTAACATGTGGCTGACATAGAAATGCACACCCCGAAATGGTCCCCTGCTTGTCCACTCACCTGGCTGTGGTTTTGTGTGTCCTCTAGGGAGATACAGTTCTGAGAGTGACGTGTGGAGCTTCGGCATCCTCCTCTGGGAGACCTTCAGCTTAGGCGTCTGTCCGTACCCTGGAATGACAAACCAGCAAGCACGCGAGCAAGTGGAAAGAGGTGAGCCAAAGACGCGGGGGTTAGTGGTTGCGTCAGCCCCCAGGGACGGTGCTGGGGGCGTCTGTGGCTTCCTGGCAGGGGTAGGGTACATACTGCTCGGCTATGTAGAGAAGCAGGGTTGTTTACAAGTCTGTTTCTAAACCCCATGGAGCGTGTGCCTCTTACACAACAAAAGGCAACGAAAAACTCTTGAGCTTTAAAGAGAGAGCGCGCTAGGCTCCTCTTCTGCTCCCCCTGCCTGGCAGGACATCTGCAGGGGACACCATTCAGTCTCTTCAAGGGAAACAGAATAAAGTTCCTCAAGCTCCCATTTTTTATTCTATGCCAAATAAACACCATTAATATTACTGCAGACTGAAATGTAGTTGGGCTTCAGGAGGTTGTTGGGAATTGCGTAACCCTTCTGAAGAAACCCTATGGTGTCCCCAGGTCAGAGGCGGGTAGCAGGTGATGGTGACGCCCTGTAGTCCATAGCTTTCAACAGAAAGAACACTCCTGACAAAACGGCGATGCCCCAGCCTCTGGCCCCTCAGGAGGGGCATGACTGTGGGAGGATGACACTCGAGCTTCCTTCCTCCCTTCTCCTACCCTCACAGACACCTTACTTCCCCAGGCGAGGCAGACACACACAGGCCCTGCCCAGCACACTGCGGGGGCGCCGCCCACAGCTTGGAATGAAAGATAAGATTCTTCTCGGACTGTAAAGGACTGTAACTGGTGTTCATTTTTATTTCACTTTTGAATTAGTGTTTATTAAGCCCTTATCCTCTCTTCATCTTAAAAAACCTGGGTCGTAGAGATGCATTTTAAAAACTCTGCCCACAGCATCTGAAAGCAAATCCTTAGAGCAGATAAGACGAGGCCTGTACGTGATGTGTCTCACATCAGACTTCGCCATGAGCAGGCAGGCTCTCTGAATGAGAAGGTAACTCTGTGGCTCTGTAATACTGAATTACTTGTAGAAACAAGACCTGTTTGCCTTATAAAGACTGTTTTGTTTCTGCTGCGTCTACAACATAAGGTACTAAACTCACAAACTACGTAATGTCCTGCACGAACATTTATGTTTATCTCCATTCTAAATTCTGTTCTCCTCTTGGGTCTTCAGGATACCGAATGTCAGCCCCTCAGCACTGTCCAGAGGACATCTTTAAAATTATGATGAAGTGTTGGGATTATAAACCTGAGAACCGCCCCAAGTTCAGTGAACTTCAGAAGGAGCTCAGTGTCATCAAGAAGAAATTCACATAGTGACGGGACGGTGCCCGATGCAGCCGTCAGGACACACCGTTCTCCTCGTTAGCCATGAGTTCGTACCACGTTACCTGCAACAGTCTGCTAAGGTTATTTTTTTATTAACTGGTTGTTGTTTTTAAATATGTGCCACTTAAAAAAAAAAAAAAGGAAAATGCATTCAAGAAACAGACAGTCCTCCCGAGGGCTTTTCTAGCTCAGACAGCACTCTTGCTGCTTCCGGCCACTGTAATAGGCAAGCACAGGCTCCCGTGGGGGAGGACAGAGGCTTCTCAGACTTTTCTCCTCCAGGCCCAGGTCATGGCTGCCGTCCTGTGCCACAGACCTGACTCACTCGGTGCTATGAGCCGCCTTGGTAACGCCATGTTTGCAGGACACCTCCCAACCAAAGTTGGCGCTCTGCTCTGCCAAGGCATGGTTATATTTGTAACATCATTTTCTATTGGGAATTATTGGGCCCTCCTAGGGATTTTCTTCATTGCCAGAAGTAACTGCAGTGTAAGAATCCTCACACTCCTGTATTAGTGTTGTCATTTCCCTCCTCTGTTTGGGCATCAGAAAGCCATGCATCAGATGCCCTCAAACAGCACACACCTAGCATTGAGGCAGCAGCTTTTAAAGGGTTTTTTAGAAGCTGCGACAGCAGGAAGTCAGGACAGGAGGGTGGTCTAGAGAAAAAGAGCAGCTAGAGTAGAATCAGAGAAGAAAAGGAAAACTTAAAATGTCTTCTTATCTGAGTTATGCCCTTAGAAACATGCACCCATTCCCTCTTTATTTTATGTTCTGCGTTCACGAAACAAGTTCTAAGAAATGTTTTTCAGGAGCTTATAAAGGCTTCTTAATGACAACAACAAATTTTTAGAGAAACTACAAAGCACAAGCCCACAGAATCAACAGCATACTTTTGGTGAAGCACCTGCACCTCTTAGGAGGTGTCCAGAATTTAATTTCCTTTATGGAGCCAGTTCCCTGAGCTGTCAGAATTGCATGGTCCTCGTTCAGAAACACGCTCCTGTGTGCACGTGTGCACACACTACCACCAAGCAAGGCAGGTGTGAATGGAGTAAATGGTTAAGAAGACAGGTGGACACTATTGAGAGAAAAAATACAGGAAAGCCTCCTCTCTCCATTTTCCCCCTTTGTTACCCTTATGCCACTACCTGGGAACCCGTATGCTTAGCAGAAGTGTGCAAGCACAGCGCTCGCTGGAGATGCTTCATGTGAAAATGTAACAGAGTTAGATCTAGGATTCTGTTGTGCTGAACCTTAGCTGCGTCCAGGGAACTTATCCCATGCTCTGTATATAGTTGCCTCTCAGGATTGTGTGGAAGAGATGGTCAGGCTCAGGGGTGAATGTGGCTTGGGAACCTTAAGTGCTCAGGCATGTGTGCAGATAAATAGCACCTTAGTGATTGTTTCATCTTGGTTTATTGGAAGAGCTTATGGGAAAGAAAATTCCTCTTGTCCCCTCCAGCTATTTGCTGCCTGTGAATATCATTGCACAGAACTCGCACACAGTGCTCTAGAAAGTAGAAAGGATAATACTGAAGAGACAAATGGCTTGTCTATCATTTCAATCTTCTTGCAAGTTCTGTACACATCTAATGATTACTACATTCAGACTAAAACAAAAGCATGATAAACTTACCCTCAAAAATATATCGCGATATTCAAAGCAATTTTTAAAATCAGAACCATTTTCCCTTCTGTCAAATAATGTAAATAAGTGGAACCTTCTGTTGGTGGCATATACTGTGGTAGGTAAGAGCACCGACTCATGAATTAAAATTAAGTGCTGTGGTCTTCAGGCCCTTGTCAGCCTTTAAACATAAGAATGAGCTGGGACATTTCCACCCTATGCCAGTGTTTCTAAGCGAATCTTTCCACAATATTTTTTGTTTATAGAGACCAGCCTTCCATCACTTACCAGCCTCAGTGCTGAGCTCTCAGCAAGGAGAGAGGAGGATGGTTTGGGCTGTAATTTTGTGAACAAGACCTGAAGCTTAATCTTTGCATTCTGGTTTAAAGAAGGAACACGGTATTGACATTTCACTCATCCTGGCTGTTAGAATTTACAATTCACATCATAACTCTGAGCTTAAATTAAAGCAGCTTTTCAAAATACCGTGACATCTGCAGCATTTAAATTCCACTTTATTCTGTGTCCCAGAGCAGGCGGTGGTATAGTTCAGGATTAATAACTCACAGGGAGTCTTTCAGGATCATACCAGTTGTAAAGAATATTAAATTTAATATGGGCACATGCATCGAGAAAAACTTACGCAAACCATTTTTTTTACTGTTAATTCTCTTGCACTTAAAGCATAATTTATTCATACCTTCTGTCACTGATAATTATTGGAATTATGTACGTTAGGGAGTTAATCCATACCCAAAAAACACACACATAAATACTGTTCTGAATTTGCAAGTTGATGTAGAAAAAGGCGGCTTCAGAAATGTACAAAATCCTATCAGTTATATAGTAGAAAACAGTTGTAACAAAAATTGCCACTGGTCTGAATGTAATTAAGCCAGGTTGCAAATCTTGGTGGTGTTAATGGATTATTCAAGAGGTGCATTTATCACTCCCATACAGTTCCTGTCATAACTCCTTAAATTTATGAGTACGGAGGGGGTGGGGGGGTCCCAGGCTGTCTGAATCTCACCTACATTTTTCTATCTTGAGGCTTTATGAAAAATATTCAGCTAGTTCATCATTTTCAAGGAAAGAAATCTTTTAATGTCAAATTAACATTTATTACCAACATGTGGAACCTAAAATTAATTTTGTATTTGAATAATCTGAGATTACTTCCCAAAGCCAGCGAGTTCCTTCTCTTCCAGGAAAACAATAATAAAGGATTGACGGGTTTTGTTTAAACTTTCAAAACCAGAGGCTGTGTTTCAGCCCATCCTGCCACCGGCTCCCCAGTATAAGGCCTCATGTGATTATTTCTCCTTTATCTCCCAAATTTAATATAAGCAATAAAGTTCCTCATTCATAATTCACCATTTTATCACAAATAAGTAGATCAGCACAGACCATGAGCCAAATTGTATTAGCTACTGTTCAGCGCACATTTCACAATTGTTTTTTTTCATTTGAGCCTTATCTTAGAAGAAAAAAGGTTTAGTCACCAAAATGATTTTAATTTTCTTTAAACCACAATCTGGTTTTCTTGTCTATGTTATACTCATGTTTCAGTGTTGCCATATAGTTTTATATAAAGTTGGGCCACCACCACTGAAATAACTATGCTTCACCATACTGGTGTGAGTGTTGCACACTGAGGACCTGGCAGTGGGATAAACATAAATTGTACGTCACTGTCATTCAGAGTTGCTCAGCCCTTGCACTTCACTGTCCATTCCTGTGCATCCCCGGAAACCCTACTTAGTGTGCATATAATCTTAGTACACTGCTTTGTGGCCATGGGTCCTTGTGGAGTGAGATTGAAATTTTCTGAAAAGAGATGTTTGCCTCAGCCCTCTTTTTTTATTTTTCACATACCCCCTTGATCACATGGTTGGTATTTCTTATTAACAAAATATTTCTTATTAACAAAACTGATTGTCCATACGCACCATTCTGAGTCCTGTAGAGACTGACTTTTGTATTTAGGAGGCCAGAGCTCTCACACAAAACACAATAATGCAAAACAAAAAGGGCAACAAAGGGACAGACAATTGAAAGACACTTTTCTTTATGTACTAATATGTTAATTAAATGGAAATAGATTTTATATGAAAATGAGTTTATATTACTTTTCCATTATACTATTAAGTTAGCATGAAAGTTTACCATTAAAATAAAGTGTTACCTCTTTTATTACTAACTTTGATTTGCTTATACATACCAGAATTTTTTAATTAAATATTTTAATTTTATTTATTTTTGTTTTGATGAATTTCATATCAAGTCTAAATACTCTACTATTTGGAAGAATCCAGAGCTGCATAGTCATTTTTGCAGAGGAAAATACTCATGTACCTACTTGAAAGAGATATTGGTACAGTCCCATAAAATTGTCGTTTAAAAAATAATGCTATAATATAAAAGATGTATAAACTATATGTGTTAGTCATAATTCAATTTAAGGAAATATTTATTACCCCTTGAAAACCATCCTACTGCCTCATGCTGATTCAGAGATTAAATTCTGAACTGTTAAGTATAGACACTAAGATGCACTTAGCTTTCTAAGAAGGACTGAGATTCTCGGGTAGTAAAAAAATCTGATCTGAATTCCTAGTCACTCTAAACTGTGGCGTAGTAATGAGCATGGGCTTCAGTGGATCTGTCCACAGGCACAGAGGAAAGGACCGCTTATTCCAAGACAGGATGATGCCGCCCTTACGGAGAGTGTAGACAAATTAAAGTGGAACAAAGACTTGAGCAGTGTCACTAGAAAGCCTAAGGAAAACAGCGCCACCAAGCCAGATCCTTTCCCACAGAAAATTAAAAAAGAGGTCACCTGCCAGCATGTGGGCCTCAGTGAGCCGACCACACACCTCTCTCCCTTGCATTTGGAGCAGGTTTATATCCCGGGCTCGCAGCTGCTGCTGTGCTGGGCGACATGTATACTCATTGTCCTGCCCACTGAAGGACTGGGTGGTTTGTCTTCGGACTTTTAAAGAGACTACTCAAAGTCTCTTTATATTTGCAGTAGTTATATTTACTACTTCTTTAAGATCACTGATTATTCATACCTTATTGGAAATCTTTGGTTGCAATGGGGCTTCACCTGGGCTAATCTCCTAGAGGAAAGCATATTTAGCCCTGGTTCACCCTGTGACTAATGTTAACTAATTGGCTCCGAGAGTTACCCCCAGAGGGACCTCACTGTGATGAGCTCTACTCTGGGAAAACATGAAATTAAGCAGGGCCGTAGGAAAATACCAATTACATAGCAATGCTCCGTGTCTTTATATAGTAACATTGGAGCGAAAGGAACCTTAGAAACAGCCCACAGCCAGTCATGGTACAGCACCGCTGAGGACAGATGCAAAAGACAGAGAACAAGACATCTAGACAGGAGGACTGACCGACATGAAGGGCAGTGACAGTACTGGCCCCAAGTGACTCAAAAGCAGCCTCCAAGTAAATGCAGCATCAGTATGGGAAAGCTAATCCTCAGAGAGGGTTTTTGAGGCGCTTCCTGCTGCATGTTATTAAATATTACAAGCCTCTCAAATCTCTACAACATTTCTTAAAGAGCACTGAATTGGATATTGATTTGATTTTCTTTATGATCCCCATAATCTCAGGAGGTGGCCACTGCTGAAGGAGAATTGCCCTCGCTCGGTTTTGCTGTCAGGCTGCAGTCATGGTAGTATACTGACTGCCCACGCCCTGAGCAATGGCGTATGTGCCCAGGGTAGCCAGCATTGGAGGAAATTTGCTGTGAAAGCTCCTACTTCTTATTTTATCAAAGAAAAAATGTCTTGTGGGTGTTTATGCTTGCGACATGAAGACAGATTTAGTGTCCCTCCTTGCCAGCAAACTAGCAAGAGCCCCCAAACAAGAATATTTAGGACTCACTCTAAAAAGATTGGAATCCTGAATTTCTAAACTATCTTCCCAAACATTGCCATTGAGGCCAGCAGATGTGAGTGTTCTACAAAGTAATAAAATGTCCTAAGTGATAGTAAAGGCCCTGGAGCAGAGTTTTGCAATATGTTTTCCCTCAGCTTCATCCATTCACAGGCTTTTCGTTAACATCTGCCATGTCGGGTACAAGGAGCCATGCTGCCCGCTAGTTTTTCTGGGGCGTTTTGGGGGGAGGGGTTGTTTTGTTTTACTTCTGGTATTTCCTTTCTCATATTCAGTTTCTTAATCCTTACTTTACCAAAACAGAAAAGCCTTTTATGGTCAGCTTTTATCAGATGGTGTCATAATTGGCTTAAACCAAAGAGTTTCTCCTCAGGAGCTTAGGAGGCCCTGCCTTAGTAGGCACTCCCAGGCATCCATTACCAGGCCAACTGCACACACACTATGTGAGAGGCCGAGCTTAGAATACAAAGAAAGCCTAGCTGTGGTCCTTGAGGCAGAGACGGGAGGGTTAGGTGGCAGTTTTGTGTGCTGAGTGACACTATCCATAGAAGAGGGAGATTTTCCCAGGACAGAAAGATCACGGTGAGCAGGGGCACCCCGGGGAACAGCCTATTGACTTGGCTGAGTAAGCTCATTGGGTGACCTACCCCCAAAGAATGTTCAAACACTAACAATGATTCCTGTCCCTTAACCCCTTGAAAGTACTGGACTTTTCCACTTCACTTTTCTGTGCCATTATTTTCTGTTAATTTCTTTCACACTCCTCTTGTCAGTAAATATCTAAAAGTAGTGTTTTAATTGTGCCATGTTAATGAGTTTTCCCATAGCTTCAGAAAAGGTAGCAAATATGAAGCCTTAAGTTCAAAATAAGCCAGTCAATCTAGATCCCAAAGCACCGTCGTGCTAAGACATCAGTTATTCTCTACAAGTTTCCCCAAAGCAGCACCCTTCCTAAAAAGCCAAACATCACACCTGCTCCTATTTGTCAAGAACATCTTTAGTGTCAGAGTAGGCACATTCTAGACCCTATCCACGGCAGATTCTAAAATGACATCCTAGGAAGCCAGAGTTCGACCACGAAGCTGACAGCGGAAACACTGCTTCACTCCATTGTCCTCAGAGACAACACCAACGCAAAACTCTAACCATTGGGTAGTCCACCCGATCAGAGGAGATGCCTTATTTTGAAAACATAGGAAAGATGTTGGTAGGAAATGTCAATGTTATGAGCCACAGAGGGTAGGTGTCAGGTGGCCATGAAAAGAAATCCCAGTTCCCACACTGGACCAGCAAAACTCTAAGAATTAAAAACAAGGTAGCGTATGACTCCAACACCCCATTATTAATATTTTTTCATGTAGCTCTTGTCAAATTGTACAAACTTGGGGTCTTCTTTTGAGTTGCAGGAACAATCTTTACGAAACAAAAAAACTAAATTCCCCCCAACTGGGGCTTCAATTTCTAAGTACCCTACATTCAGACCCTTAGGGACTGAGAGGGAGCCTAAATCATTCCTGAGATCCCAGGCAGAAGGACCGTCCTGGCAGTCTCCACCAGCTCACCAATCCAGTGCTTTTGTTCATTTTTAAACACAGAAGTGGAGAAGAAAAATACCCCATTAGGTAGAAATGGTCTTTTACAACTAATTTGACTTGGTAGAAATAAACTTGCCTGCCTGCTCTTAAGAAATGCCAGACCGTGGTGAGCAAGTGCAGAGGGCACAGTGCCCTGAGCCATGCTTCATAGGACTGTGTTGTCTTCTCCTCACCCAAGAATAGCAGTTTTTACATGTAAACTATAGGACATGGCGGCCCCTCCCCTGCCAGTTGGAGTGGCTTTGCTTCAGCTGCAAGCAGAAGACCACTTCCAACAGCAGTGAACTTATTTGTCCTAATTCCTTCTCAGATGCTAGGGCTTTCACACTGGCCAGTTTCAGAAAATATGCATGTTTAAATGAAATTCACTATTTTTGGCTTTAGTGTCAAAGAGATTGGTTCTGCAAGATTTACCTGATTCCCCATAACAAGTATATTTTATAGCCTTATGATTCTAAATCCACTCCCCAGTATAGTTAGCTCACATCAAATCAAAATCAGAGATAAAGAGGAACTGGTAGGGAGGGGTCTTGGTTATTTCAAATTCATGACCAAAGTCGCCAAAGACAAAACTCCCTTTCACATGATGACCATTTCACGTCACTATATGAAATGTCAGTTACCCAATACGATCCTGTGACAAAATCAGATGCTCACCATGGACCAATGCCAGGAGCCCTGTACTTTATTTACATGGGCCATTTCTAGTCATTTTCCTCCATAAAGCATTGAGATTTCTCACTGGAACAACTTTATGATTCAGGTACCTAGAAATCTTACGTTTAATCTATGTTTAACGGTATTGAATTAGATGGCCTGATTCAGCAACATGAGTGCAGTGGGGGTTGGTGGTGGTGTGAATTCTGCCGACTTCATCTTACGGTTTTCTCTGTGTTTTTCTTGGTTGGGTGTGATGAGTACCCTGACTGGAACTCTCCAAAGTCATAGCCATACAACCACATAGGGTTAGGAAAAGCCAGGTAAATGCAGGAGAACAAAATAAAGTTGTCCAAGTCCCAAGAACAGCACCTACTTCTTCAAGAACCTAAGCAAACCGAAAGCAAAGATCCAATGTACACATGATGCCCAGGCCCTTTCCTGGGCAGCCCACTGGCCTGAGGCCCTGCACTCCTCCCTGCATAGGCCTGCAGCGAGCGGCCCCAGAAATGTCATTTCCCGTTGCTTCCTCTTCCCTTTGTGAGAAGATGCGTTCAGGTTGATGGGGTGATGGGGTGATAGGGTGGTGGGGTGGGCGTGGAGCCTGCCCCTGGGTACAGAGGTTCTGTCTGCAAAGCATTCTGAGCAAAGCCCTCCCGTGGTTTACACAGTTTCCTTTTAGCACCAACATTGTCGGGTTAAAGCACCTTTAGTCTTTTTTGTTATTGCTTTAAAATAATATATTTGTGAAGTGTATAAAAGAAACACTGGAAATAGGGTGCTTCTTATAAAAAGTTCAAGTGTAGAACATGCCAACAAGGCCTTTGGTGAGTTTATCTAGCTTTGTGAGCAAGTCTGAAAAATGAACGAGAGCGAAATATATAAAGCAGTTAGTTGTCTGTCTTTTACCATTTTTAACTCAGATCTGTATTTAACACTTATTTATTTGTTAGTTTTTACATTCGGAAGAAATACACTTTGAACTTTGGCTAACATTGTAGGATGTTTTTAAATTGTTTTCTACTTTTTTAAAACGTGACTTCATCACTTTTGTACTTTGAGCATTTTTGAACAGCCCCTTTTCCCCTTCCACGGACCAATTACCACTGAGAGTTCTGCAGGCCCTTTTTTTTTTACTGTATTCTTATAATAAATGTAAAATATTTGTAGCAAACTGTGCCTTGTTTTGTTTAATCTTTTCCATCATGTTTATATTTCTCTTCCTTTTCCACGTAAATATGCTCTAAGTAGAAGGAAAGAGAAGAGATTTCCATGGTAACTGGCCTCCTAGGGATGTAATGGTGCATAAAAAATTATTAGCTTTCAGTTTCTCTGTAATTAAGCTCATGAGTTCTGATGATAATGGGTGTGTGTTGCTTACAGTCCAATCACCGCTTCCTCTGTTTAGAAATAAAAACTGAAATGTAGTTCCAGTCTCATTTCTCTGAGTGGATTGGCTGTTTGCCAGGGTTTTGTGTTGTTGTTGTTTCATAACAGGATCTGTTTAGACATAACAAAAGGATTTAGGGGAGAAAGGTGGCTGAGAGGGATGTTTGGAGAGATGCTGAGAGCTGCTCCCATACAGCAGTTAATGGTCTGCATCCTTGCCTGGCTCCCATACGGGCTGAGCTGGTCACAGAGCCGAGCCTAGGACTTCTATTTACCCTTCAGTCAGCAAATCAATAACCTTCCTAAAACAGCATGCTGTTATTTACACAGGCTTACCTGCATTAAACTCTCCTGGTCCCAGGTCTTGGACTAGAGGAGTCACCCTCCCCCTCTCAAAAATGCATGTGCTTACTGTCTCTGGGTCCGCCCACAAGCTTCTTAGAACAGGCAGAGGAATCCACAACCCGGCTTTTACTGACTTCAGTTCATTAGGGCCAGGGCACCCATCACCAAGGAAGGGGGGCTGTTGACCGAAATCCGGCTCCCCAGGAGGGACAGACAGGATCTCTGAAAGGCCCTGGAGTTCTCGCTGTATTTAAAGTCATGCACCTCACTGTCCATCCGCTCTAGCTAGCAGTTTCTTCACAGAGGTGATGCTGATGAATGTTGCCTGCAGAAAACATGGATGTAAACACTAGTTTCTATTAAAAGCATCAATGGTTGCCAACTCCTTCAATTAAAAGCTGAGTCTGAAGTGCTTTTTCAAACTCCTCAGAACTGAAGCAACTGGACAGACCAAACTCATGATTACAGTTGAGTAGGGCTATTGGTGCTGCTTCCAAAGGCATCGGTGAGGAAAGAGGCACCAAGCCTGGACTGCGAAACCCAGGCAGGTCCTCACCCGCTAGGACTGTCACTGGTTTGTAAGCTTGAACAAACCGTATCATGTCTAGACTGGTTTCCTCACCTGCAAAATGAGGTTTGACTAAATAATTACCTAGTATTAACCTTTTTCTTTTCATTCTCTTACTCTCCCTTGCCCATCCCTCCTTTTTTCCTTTCTCATCAGTCACTTCCCCACCCTAATTTCCTCCAGGGGGAATTTCCTCTTTCCTTTGGTGTGGTCTTGATGGAAAGGTAACTCCAAGTGCCCTCCCACTACAGAAGCCAAAGAATCCACATCCATCCTTATTGACTGAAGGGAGCCCTTCTTCCGAGACTGAGTCTTTGAGGACAGAAGGACCAGCCGGAGGGCATTCCCCCGGGGCGAATGTTGCTGTGACGCCTGCTTCTTAGACCTCCAGAGCACCCTTGGTTTCCTCCCAGCCCCAGTCCTCATTCTCTGTCCCCTCATTGACCTTGGAGTCCCCTGCCAGCCCTCCAGCTAATTCCCTCCACCCTGACTCATCCACCGTCCAGCCCTGCTGCCCACCGTCAAGGTCTCTCCCGTGAGGCCCCTTCCAGCTTGGAGATTCTGTGATCAGTGATCTCGGGGTCACTTTGGAACCCCTGAACAGCAGCACTATTCAGGATAAATGCTGTTTCCTTTGCTTTCTACAATGTTGTTGTTAGAATTCAGAAAAAAACAAAAAACAAAAAAAAACTCCCTCCAGGTTTAATCTTCTAATGTGCTCCTGATTATCCAAACTAAGCCTCTTAATATTTCCTCAGCTCTGGGTCTAGGTAATTCAAAATTATAAATGTTTCCTTTGCAGTCTCCCTGTGGTAACAATGGCACCATAGGATAGTTAAATGATAAGGTCAATGGACTAGAACATTACGAGAGCTAATTGATCTATCACTGCAATATAAATGCCAAGAATTAATAGAAAAATAAATGTCACAGAAAGCTGGGGTACTGAACTCAGAAGCTGTCCTCTTTTGGCTCCCCACCCCCACCTTTCAGGAGGGCTTGATCTTATTCTAAGGAGAGTCTCTCTTTTCTGAAAACACACACACACACACACACAAATGCTTCCTTTCAGACCTGGGTAAAGGACAATAATTTAAACTTGTTGGGTTTTCATCCCCAGCTAATTTTCAGACAGCCCCTAGAAGCCTTCCCTGGGCCTGCAATCTTCCCCTTGGCCCCCTGCCACATGTCAAGACATAGTTAAAATGTGGTGAAGTAGCAAAGGGGGGCTCCAGGGAACACACTTATGATGCATGTGCCTTAGGAAGCAGCACGAGTGGGGGGATAGGAGGATTTTCTTGCTGGTGTTCCTTCAGGCCCACAGTCCTGAAGCCCCTGTCAAAGCCAGCCAAAACCCAGAAACAGGGCCTTTTCCAGAACTGCACAGTTCATTAGTCTACCATGTACCAATCAGAGATGGGAACATCGTATTTGTTCTGGTTGAACTGTTACCTTTAATTCCAGGCAGCCATCTGCCCCAGCCAGGTAAATGCCCAAGTATCTTTTTGTATCAAACTGAATCCAGCCTCTCCCCTCTAGATCTGATGCATACAGAACTTAAAGGAAACCAGCAGATTTACACCATCCCTCCCTCTTTCGTTCCATGCTTCTTTCCCACCTCTCCTTCTCTTCTCCCTCATGTATACCCTTTCTCATGGTTTGAAGTGAGTCCTATATTAGTACACCTCTACAGTTTTTTACTCCAAAACAGATGTTCCATGGATATAATCATCAGTGTATTTTAAATGTATATTCATCAGATGTTATTTTGGGAAGACCAGGAGTCATCTACAAGATTAAACATAAGGTAAAAGTGGAAGAGTATAAATAAAATAAAACCCAATTAAAAAGAACAGAGAAAGAAAACCAAATATCTGAAATGTGTTAATTATAGCAATTAAGCAATAAATTTCACTGAATTTCCTGACAACTAAAAAAAGCAGGAAAGAAAAGTACTTATATTATAAAATAAAAAAGGTCGAAAATTCACAGCTTGTCAATCAACTTAAAAGGTTAGGAAAAAAGTTATTCTAGAACTTTTTGTTTTCTAAGATTAACCATGAAAGTCATGGCAGTGGCTCTCACCTGGAAGGAATTTTGTCCCCCAGAGAATATTTAACATTTGCTGACATTTTTGGTTGTTACATCTGGGAAGTATTACTGGCACCTAGTAGTAGAGGCCAGGGTGCTGCTAAACATCCCACAATGCATGGACAAATTTTAAAGGGACAATGAAAGACAAAAAAAAAGAAAAAGTGTTTTAATTACTTCCCTAGGTTGACATGTTTGACATACTGCTTACCTAGAAAAACAATCTAGAGGATCAACAAACCAAGAGTTGTTTTTTAAAAGCATCCTCTGATGAGTTACCAATAAAAAAAGAATAAACCATCTTAAGAATAAAAAAGTGGATATAGATAACTACAGAAACAGCAGGGATTGAAAAAGTAATAAGTAAACACTATGAACTTCATGGTAATAAATTTGAAAACAAACATAATTAAAGCTTATGCAAAATCAACAAATTCCTAGAGAAAATATAACTTGCCAAAGCTAACTGAGAAGAAATAGACTCAGATCAAGATGGTGCAGTAGGTAAACATTGTGCTCGCCTCCTCCCACAACCAAATCAAAATTACAACTAAATTACAGAACCACCTCCCTGGAGAACCATATGAAGACTAGCTGAAAGGAACTTCTATAACTAAGGGTATAAAGAAGAAGCCACATTGAGACTCTTAGGAAGGTCAAGGAAGAGAAACAGGCTGGTCCCACACCCATGTGTAGGGGTTAAGAATAAAGAGGAATATCTAGGCTGGTAGAGCTCCCTCAGGAGCAAGGGGGCCCAGCCCCACACCAGGCTCCCCAGCCCAGGGCACCAGTGCCGAGAGGAGGAGTCCCCACAACATCTGGCTGTGAAAATCAATGCAGATTCCATCTGGGTGAGACACAGGCCTGCTTCAGACCCAGGTGTCCTCTTAAAGAGCCTGGTGCAGTAGTGGCAGCTGCCCTCAGTTTGAAGCATAGCCCCTTCCAGTCACCTCTAAGCCCAGCACACGCAGCTACCAACTGCAGATCACTTTGTAGCTCCTACCAGGAGGTCCAGGGCTGAGCACAAACAACAGCTGACCTGGAGTTACACTTAAGNGAGTTACACTTCCCCCTCCCAAGAGACCCCAGAACTAACACACCTGGTGGCCAGCTTCAGACCACACCAGATCACCACCCTTTTGGCTCCACAAACAACACACCCAAAGGGTGGACATAGCAAGCACCAGAACCCCACTCCATGGGTCAGCGCCCACACAACATCTTGTCTGCTGTAGTCATAATCTTCATAGCCAGTCAGCCTGAGGGTCAGTCCCAACCACTGACCGGCCAACAGCAATGAGGGCTCACTTACTAAAATCGACAAATTCCTTGAAAGACACAAACTACAAATGCTCAGTCAAGAAGAAAAAGATAAGCTGAATAGCAATAAATTTATAAAATAAAGGAAGTTGTAGTTAAAAACCTTCCTACCAAGAAAACTGTGGGCCCAAATCACTTCACTGATGAATTCTACCAAACAACACTACATATTCTTTTAGAAAGTAGGAAGGAGGAAATGCTTCTCAAGTTGTTTTATGAGACCAGCATTACACTAACACCAAAACTGCATGACAATATTTTAAGAAAATGCCCAATCAATATTACTCAAGAACATAAAAACTCTTGCCATAATATTAGCAAATTGAATTCACTAATATGTAAAAAGGGTAATAAATCATGGACAAATGGGTTTTATCCCAGGACTGCAAGGTTGGTGCAACAATAAAAAATAAAAGTAATGAACCATGCCCGGCTGAGCGTGGCTCAGCAGTTGAGCATCG